TAGCAACAACAACGACGAAACGATGATATGAGTGCGTAAAATAATGCAAATTATGGGGGGGGTGGGAGAGAGTGGGAGAGAAAAATGAATTTTAAGCAAAAGTGGATATTTATGGAATTTCAGGGGCCACAAAGTGGAATTTTTAATATTCCTGGGAAGCAAAAAACTTGGATATTTGAAATATTTTTTTGGAGGTCCCAACAAGAACAATAAACCTGGATTTGTTAAAAAAATTTTGAGGTCCCAAAAATGACAATAAACATGAATTTTTTAAAGAATTTTTGGGGATCCCTAGGAGGACAATAAATGTGGATTTTTTAAAGAATTTTTGGGAGACTAAAGAAGGTCAATAAACGTGGATTTTTTAAAGAATTTTTGGAGGTCACAAAAAGGACAAGAAACGTGGATTTTTTTTAAAGAATTTTTGGAGGTCCCAAAAAGGACAATAAACGTGAATTTTTTAAAGAATTTTTGGGGGAACCAAAAAGTCCAGGAAACGAGGATTTTTTAAAGAATTTTTGGAGGTCCCAAAAAGGACAATAAACGTGGATTTTTAAAAGATTTTTTGGGGGAACCAAAAAGTCCAGGAAACGAGGATTTTTTAAAGAATTTTTGGAGGAACCAAAAAGGACAAGAAACGTGGATGTTTTAAAGAATTTTTGAAGGTCACAAAAAGGAGAAGAGACGTGGATTTTTCAAAGAATTTTTGGAGGTCCCAAAAATGAAAACAAACTTGGATTTTTTAAAGAATTTTTGGAGGTCTCCAAAAGGACAATAAATGTGGATTTTTTAAAGAATTTTTGGAGGTCTCAAAAAGGACAAGAAACGTGGATTTTTTAAAGAATTTTTGGAGGTCCCATAAAGTTGAAAAACGTGGATTTTTTAAAGAATTTTTGGAGTAGCCAAAAAGGACAATAAACGTGGATTTTTTAAAAAAATTTTGAGGAACCCAAAATGGACAATAAACGAGGATTTTTTTAAAGAATTTTTGGAGGTCCCAAAAAGGACAATAAACGTGGATTTAAAAAAAAAATTGGAGGTCCCAAAAAGGACAATAAACGTGGATTTTTTAAAGAATTTATGGAGTAACCAAAAAGGACAATAAACGAGGATTTTTTAAAGAATTTTTGGAGGTCCCATAAAGTTAAAAAACGTGGATTTTTTAAAGAATATTTGAAGGTCCCATAAAGTTAAAAAACGTGGATTTTTTAAAGAATTTTCGGAGGTCCCATGAAGTTAAAAAACGTGGATTTTTTAAAGAATTTTCGGAGGTCCCATGAAGTTAAAAAACGTGGATTTTTTAAAGAATTTTTGGAGTAGCCAAGGAGACCAAGAAACGTGGATTTTTAAAGAATTTTTGGAGTAGCCAAGGAGACCAAGAAACGTGGATTTTTAAAGAATTTTTGGAGTAGCCAAAGAGGCCAGGAAACGTGGATTTTTTAAAGAATTTTTGGAGTAGCCAAAGAGGTCAGGAAACATGGATTTTTTAAAGAATTTTTGGAGTAGCCAAAGAGGCCAGGAAACGTGGATTTTTTAAAGAAATTTTGGAGGTCCAATGAAGGACAAGAAACGTGGATTTTTTAAAGAATTTTTGGAGGTCCAATGAAGGACAATAAATAAACGTGGATTTTTTAAAGAATTTTTGGAGGTCCAATGAAGGACAAGAAACGTGGATTTTTTAAAGAATTTTTGGAGGTCCAATGAAGGACAATAAATAAACGTGGATTTTTTAAAGAATTTTTGGAGGTCCAATGAAGGACAAGAAACGTGGATTTTTTAAAGAATTTTTGGAGGTCCAATGAAGGACAAGAAACGTGGATTTTTAAAGAAAAAATGAAGTAGCCAAAAAGGCCAGGAAACGTGGATTTTAAATAAAATATAAGATTTGTTAATAATTTGATCGATTACTAACCTCCTAAAAATGCATCACAAATTTTTGATCGATTTCAAACCTCTAAAAATTCTTAGTCCAACCTAAAATCGTTTATTAAACCATGTTTTTTGGAGCTTTTGAACCCACCTAAAATTCCACGAAATTGGTCGATATAAGACCTCTTAACATCTATAAAAAAAGTCCGTGTCTATTGGTTGGTATTTTACACCTGATTTTTAAGATAAGGCATATTGTTCTCTTGGAATCATCCTGAAATCTCTTAGAATGGAAGTTTTCTGCCTCTTGGAATTTTACTTAAATTATTCGATCTTAAAATTTTAAATTTTTAGGATCTTGATTTTTTTAAATTCCTTAAAAATGTCCGGTTTGAGTCCTCCCAAAAATTTCCTTAAAAACTAACCATCCCAACAAAATATGTTAATGTCCAAGCTTTTGAGGTTAAGGGGACTAAAAAGTCCTCGAAACTGGTTGATCTGAAACCTTCTAAAATCCCTAATAAACTACATGCTTGTTGGTCGAATTGATGATCTCCAAGTCCTCTAAAACTTCTTCAAAAAATACACATTAATTGTGGTTATCAAGCAGTTGCAAAGTTCTTCAAAATTGATCAATTGGGAACCTCGCTTTTACTCCTTATAAAAGCTCCCATACATCATGGCTTTTGAGGTACTGGAGTCCTCTTAAAATCCCTAAATTTGGGTCGATTTGATTCCTCCGGAAATCCTTTAAAAACTATGTTAATTGGTCGATTTGACTTATTGAAAAACCTCCTGAAAATCTAAGTTTTTTGAGTTCTCAGACGCGTCATAAAGTACCACAAAAAATGGTCGGTTTGAACCCTTCAAATATCACCCAAAAATCTAAGTCAATTGGTCGATGTAACTCATCATAAAATATTGCAAAAATCCAAACAATTCTGGGTCTTAGAGTCCTGCAAAAATTCCTTGAAATTGGTCGATTCATGACATCTTACAATCCCTAAAAAATAGACATCTCCTGGTCGAATTGAAGATCTAGAAGTTCTCCAAAAATTCCCCAAAAAATTTTATGGTTTTATCGATTTGAGTCCTCCTAAATTTCCTAAAAAATCACCATTTTTGGATTTGATTCCTTATGGAAACTTCCATAAATCATAGATTCTGAGGTCCTATAGTTTTCTCCGAATTCCTAAAAGTTAATTGATGTGGGACCTTCTCCGGATATCGCTTAAAAACTGAATCTATTGGTCGATTTGAATCCTCCATAAAGTTTCACAGAATCGGTCGATTTCAGACCTTCAAATATCACCAAAAAATCTAAGTCGGTTGGTCGAGTTGAAAAAAATCTTTTTGTTTTTGAGGTTTGAAAGCCACACAAAAGTTACTGTCGATAAAAAAAATCTATAAAAAAATCAAAGCAATTTGGGGTCTCGCAGTCCTGCTAAAATTCCTTAACATTGAATGAATTTACTCCAGCAAAATCCCTTCAAAAATGCAGGTGTATTTGCCATTGTGACTCCCCATAAAATCTATTGAAAATTCGGGGTCTTGGGATTTTTTTTGTAATTCTTTAAAATTTGTGTTCGATTTCCGAAAAAAAATCCATGAATATTGGTGGAATTCTTGAAATCTCAAATTCCAGGTTTTTTTCGATTCTTGGAATTCACCGAAAAATCCCCAAATTATTCCATTTGAGATCTGCTAAAAATGGTGTCTATAGGTCGATTTAACACCTAGAAAAATCTCTTAAAAATCCACGATTATTGTTCGACTTAAGTCCATCAAAAATTCCTTTAAATCCATGATTTTTAGGGAGGTTCCAAGTCTCCCGAAAATTCCATAAAATTGTTCGACTTTAGAATTTCTTTACAAACGACGCTCATTGAGGTCTTGGAATCCTCCTGAAATTCTTCAAAATTAATTGATTTGAGACATTCAAGAATCTCTAAAAAAACTAAATTTATTGGTCGAATAGAGTCATAAAATCTCCGAAGAATTCACGTTTTTTAAGACTCCGAATCCTGATAATCCACCAAGAATCCATGAATATTGGTCGAACTGACGCCACCTAAAATCTATTCAAATTCCAATTTTTTTAGGGAATCCACCAAAAATATTTCCAAAATTAGTCCATTTGAGATCTGCTAAAAATTAGTGTCAAAGGGGCGATTTAACACCCAAAAAATCTCCTAAAAATCCACGAATATTGGTCGATTTAAGTTCTTCAAGAATTCCTTCAAATCCATTATTTTTAGGGAGGTTTCAAGTCTTCCAAAAATGCCATAAAATTGGTCGATTTTTTTAAACCCTTGAAAAGCGCTGAAAATTAAGGTCTTGGAATCCTTCTAAAATTCTTCAAAATTGGCCAATTTAAGACTTTCGGGAATCGCTAAAAAAACTAAATCTATTGGTCAAATAGAGTCATAAAATCTCCTAAAAGTCTAAATTTTTTAGTCCTAAAATCCTCATAAAACTCTAAAAAATTGATCGATTTAAACCTCCTAAAATTCTTTATAGAAAATCTGCGTCTATAGGTCGATTTGGCGCTTCATAAAAAAATTCAAAAATCCAATACAGCCTTAAATCTGTCTAAAATCCAATATTTTTAAGGTCTTGGAGTTCTCCTAAAATTCCACAAATTTGATCGGTTTTAGATATTAAAAATTCCAACTTTTAAAGTTTTTATAATCCTCCTAAAATATTTTTAAATTTGTCGATTTGAGCCATTTTTAAATTCCCTTAAAATTTCAAGTATTTTGAGATCGTGATGTTCTCCTCAAGTCTCTTAAAAATCAAAAATTTTTAAGGTTTTGGAGTCCCGCAAAAATTCCTCAAATTTGGTCGGTTTCAGACTTTTTCCATTCGATTCTTCATTAAACCCCTTAGAATTTGTGTTTTTTGGGGTGTTGAAATTAATTAGCATTGCCCTAAAAATTGGCCGATTTGAGATCATTGAAAGATCCATCTAAAATTCCTCGAAGAAGTATTCAAAATTTATTTCAAAATTTATGAAAAACAAATTTTTTTGCTAATATTTCAAACCTTATTTAAATCATTTCAATATTATTTAAATCACTTAATTAAACCTAAAGGCTTCTTCCCCCACCAAACCCCCAACATTTACTTACCATTCTCAATTGTCTCCTTGGCACACGAGATTATCTTGCCCTTGCGTCGTCTCAAATTCGATTCGAAATTATTATCGTCGGTGTAATCGCCGTCACCATCCAAGGCTGCATCCTCGGCGGTTGTCGACTCCTGTACATCCTCGGAAGACTGACGTTCAGAGGACATGTTGCCGCTGTCGTGTTGGATGAGGCTTTCAATGCTTTTATTCATCATTGGGAGGCAGCACACACATGCACATACACATGGACACACACACACACACGCGGAGATATATTATTTACGAGGAGAACACATGCACACAGATGCACACATGGACATTTATTTCGGCAAAAAAGATTATTTTTATTTTGAATGACACTTTTTGTTTTTGTTTTATTTTTTTATTATTTTTTGTTGTCGTCTATTCACAGAATTTTGAACGACGGAGTAGATTTATCCTTGCCTCACAGAGAAAGAGGTTGAGAGAGGAAGTTTCGAATTGTTTCGTTTTGGTTAGTAATTTTTAATAATTCATTCGAATCATTTGATTAATTGTCGTTTGGTAAACGAAATATTTGATCGATTATGTTGTGCTTCTTCTTTTCTTTTTTTGCTAAAATTTGGAAACTTTTTTGATTATTTTTTTTATTTTTTGGAATTTCTTTGAGCTGTTACATTAGAGAGGTAATAAATGATTGGAGATAATATGATTGAACATCCAAGTCGTTGCTACACCAAAATTTGTTATGGCAAAGATGAAGGTTGCTGCTTAAAATTTCGTATAATTTCGGTCCTTGAAAAAAATATTCGTTAAAAATACACGTTCATAGTCTTGAAGGTCCTTGAAAAAATATTCTTTAAAAAATCCGCGTTTCTTGGCCTTTTGGTCCTTGAAAAAATATTCTGGATTTTTTTAAAGAATATTTTTTCAAGGACCAAAAGACCAAGAAACGTGGATTTTTTAAAGAATATTTTTTCAACAACCAAAAGACCAAGAAACGTGGATTTTTTAAAGAAAATTTTTTTTTAAGGACCAAAATACCAAGAAACGTGGATTTTTTAAAGAATATTTTTTCAAGGACCAAAAGACCAAGAAACGTGGATTTTTAAAAAATATTTTTTCGAGGACCAAAAGACCAAGAAGCGTGGATTTTTTAAAGAATATTTTTTCAAGGACCAAAAGACCAAGAAACGTGGATTTTTAAATAATATTTTTTCAAGGACCAAAAGACCAAGAAGCGTGGATTTTTTTAAAGAATATTTTTTCAAGGACCAAGAAACGTGGATTTTTTAAAGAATATTTTTTCAAGGACCAAGAAACGTGGATTTTTTAAAGAACATTTTTTCAAGGACCGCCACTCCAAGAAACGTGGATTTTTAAAAAATATTTTTTCAAGGACCAAAAGACCAAGAAACGTGGATCTTTTAAATATTTTTTTCAAGGACCAAAAGAAGAAGAAACGTCGATCTTTTAAAGAATATTTTTTCAAGGACCAAAGGACCAAGAAACGTGGATTTTTTAAAGAATATTTTTTCAAGGACCAAGAAACGTGGATTTTTTAAAGAATATTTTTTCAAGGACCAAGAAACGTGGATTTTTTAAAGAATATTTTTTCAAGGACCAAGAAACGTGGATTTTTTAAAGAATATTTTTTCAAGGACCAAGAAACGTGGATTTTTTAAAGAATATTTTTTCAAGGACCAAGAAACGTGGATTTTTTAAAGAATATTTTTTCAAGGACCAAGAAACGTGGATTTTTTAAAGAATATTTTTTCAAGGACCAAAAGACCAAGAAACGTGGATCTTTTAAATATTTTTTTCAAGGACCAAAAGAAGAAGAAACGTCGATCTTTTAAAGAATATTTTTTCAAGGACCAAAGGACCAAGAAACGTGGATTTTTTAAAGAATATTTTTTCAAGGACCAAAAGACCAAGAAACGTGGATTTTTTAAAGAATATTTTTTCAAGGACCAAAAGACCACCAAACGTGGATTTTTTAAAGAATATTTTTTCAAGGACCAAAAGACCACCAAACGTGGATTTTTTAAAGAATTTTTTTCAAGGACCAACACACCAAGAAACGTGAATTTTTTAAAGAATATTTTTTCAAGGACCAAAAGACCAAGAAATGTGGATTTTTTAAAGAATATTTTTTCAAGGACCAAAAGACCAAGAAACTTGGATTTTTTAAAGAATATTTTTTCAAGGACCAAAAGACCAAGAAACGTGGATTTTTTAAAGAATATTTTTTCAAGGACCATCAGTTGAAGAAACGTGGATTTTTTAAAGAATATTTTTTCAAGGACCAAAAGACCAAGAAACTTGGATTTTTTAAAGAATATTTTTTCAAGGACCAAAAGACCAAGAAACGTGGATTTTTTAAAAATATTTTTTCAAGGACCAAAAGACCAAGAAAGACGGAACGTGGATTTTTTTAAAAGATTATTTTTTCAAGGACCATCTGTTGAAGAAACATGGATTTTTTAAGATTATTTTTTCAAGGACCATCTGTTGAAGAAACTTGGATTTTTTAAAGAATATTTTTTCAAGGACCAAAAGACCAAGAAACGTGGATTTTTTAAAGAATATTTTTTCAAGGACCAAAAGACCAAGAAACGTGGATTTTTTAAAGAATATTTTTTCAAGGACCAAAAGACCAAGGAACGTGGATTTTTTAAAGAATATTTTTTCAAGGACCAAAAGACCAAGAAACGTGGATTTTTTAAAGAATATTTTTTCAAGGACCAAAAGACCAAGAAACGTGGATTTTTTAAAGAATATTTTTTCAAGGACCAAAAGACCAAGAAACGTGGATTTTTTAAAGAATATTTTTTCAAGGACCAAAAGACCAAGAAACGTGGATTTTTTAAAGAATATTTTTTCAAGGACCGAAAGACTAAGAAACATGGATTTTTTAAAGAATATTTTTTCAAGGACCAAAAGACCAAGAAACGTGGATTTTTTAAAGAATATTTTTTCAAGGACCAAAAGACCAAGAAACGTGGATTTTTTAAAGAATATTTTTTCAAGGACCAAAAGACCAAGAAACGTGGATTTTTTAAAGAATATTTTTTCAAGGACCAAAAGACCAAGAAACGTGGAGTTTTTAAAGAATATTTTTTCAAGGACCAACAGTTGAAGAAACGTGGATTTTTTAAAGAATATTTTTTCAAGGACCAAAAGACCAAGAAACGTGGATTTTTTAAAGAATAATTTTTCAAGGACCATCTGGTGAAGAAACTTGGATTTTTTTTAAAGGATATTTCTTCAAGGTCTTTTAGTCCTTGAAAAAATATTCCTTAAAAAATCCACGTTTCTTGGTCTAAGGGTCCTTGAAAAAATATTCCTTAAAAAATCCACGTTTCTTGGTCTAAGGGTCCTTGAAAAAATATTCCTTAAAAAATCCACGTTTCTTGGTCTAAGGGTCCTTGAAAAAATATTCCTTAAAAAATCCACGTTTCTTGGTCTAAGGGTCCTTGAAAAAATATTCCTTAAAAAATCCACGTTTCTTGGTCTAAGGGTCCTTGAAAAAATATTCCTTAAAAAATCCACGTTTCTTGGTCTAAGGGTCCTTGAAAAAATATTCCTTAAAAAATCCACGTTTCTTGGTCTTTTGATCCTTGAAAAAATATTCTTTAAAAAATCCACGTTTCTTGGTCTTTTGATCCTTGAAAAAATATTCTGTAAAAAATCCACGTTTCTTGGTCTAAGGGTCCTTGAAAAAATATTCCTTAAAAAATCCACGTTTCTTGGTCTAAGGGTCCTTGAAAAAATATTCCTTAAAAAATCCACGTTTCTTGGTATTTTGGTCCTTGAAAAAATATTCTTTAAAAAATCCACGTTTCTTGGTATTTTGGTCCTTGAAAAAATATTCTTTAAAAAATCCACGTTTCTTGGTTTGGGGGTCCTTGAAAAAATATTCTTTAAAAAATCCAAGTTTCTTGGTCTTTTGGTCCTTGAAAAAATATTCTTTAAAAATCCACGATTATTGGTATTTTGGTACTTGAAAAAATATTCTTTAAAAAATTCATGTTTCTTGGTCTTTTGGTTGTTGAAAAAGATATTCTTTAAAAAATCCACGTTTCTTCAACTATTGGTCCTTGGAATAATATTCTTTAAAAAATCCATGTTTCTTGGTCTTTTGGTTGTTGAAAAAGATATTCTTTAAAAAATCCACGTTTCTTGGTCTAAGGGTGCTTGAAAAAATATTCTTTAAAAAATCCACGATTCTTGTTCTTTTGGTCCTTGAAAAGATATTCTTTAAAAAATTCAAATTTCTTGGTCTTTGATCCTTGAAAAAATATTCTTTAAAAAATCCACGTTTGATCAACTGATGGTCCTTGGAAAAATATTCTTTAAAAAATCCACGTTTGATCAACTGATGGTCCTTGGAAAAATATTCTTTAAAAAATCCACGTTTCATCAACTGATGATCCTTAAAAAAATATTCTTTAAAAAATCCACGTTTCATCAACTGATGGTCCTTGAAAAAATATTCTTTAAAAAATCCACGATTCATCAACTGATGGTCGTTGGAAAAATATTCTTTAAAAAATCCACGTTTCATCAACTGATGGTCCTTGGAAAAATATTCTTTAAAAAATCCACGTTTCATCAACTGATGGTCCTTGGAAAAATATTCTTTAAAAAATCCACGTTTCATCAACTGATGGTCCTTGGAAAAATATTCTTTAAAAAATCCACGTTTCATCAACTGATGGTCCTTGGAAAAATATTCTTTAAAAAATCCACGTTTCATCAACTGATGGTCCTTGGAAAAATATTCTTTAAAAAATCCACGTTTCATCAACTGATGGTCCTTGGAAAAATATTCTTTAAAAAATCCACGTTTCATCAACTGATGGTCCTTGGAAAAATATTCTTTAAAAAATCCACGTTTCATCAACTGATGGTCCTTGGAAAAATATTCTTTAAAAAATCCACGTTTCATCAACTGATGGTCCTTGGAAAAATATTCTTTAAAAAATCCACGTTTCATCAACTGATGGTCCTTGGAAAAATATTCTTTAAAAAATCCACGTTTCATCAACTGATGGTCCTTGGAAAAATATTCTTTAAAAAATCCACGTTTCATCAACTGATGGTCCTTGGAAAAATATTCTTTAAAAAATCCACGTTTCATCAACTGATGGTCCTTGGAAAAATATTCTTTAAAAAATCCACGTTTCATCAACTGATGGTCCTTGGAAAAATATTCTTTAAAAAATCCACGTTTCATCAACTGATGGTCCTTGGAAAAATATTCTTTAAAAAATCCACGTTTCATCAACTGATGGTCCTTGGAAAAATATTCTTTAAAAAATCCACGTTTCATCAACTGATGGTCCTTGGAAAAATATTCTTTAAAAATCCACGTTTCATCAACTGATGGTCCTTGGAAAAATATTCTTTAAAAAATCCACGTTTCATCAACTGATGGTCCTTGGAAAATATTCTTTAAAAAATCCACGTTTCATCAACTGATGGTCCTTGGAAAAATATTCTTTAAAAAATCCACGTTTCATCAACTGATGGTCCTTGGAAAAATATTCTTTAAAAAATCCACGTTTCATCAACTGATGGTCCTTGGAAAAATATTCTTTAAAAAATCCACGTTTCATCAACTGATGGTCCTTGGAAAAATATTCTTTAAAAAATCCACGTTTCAT